ATATATATATATATTCAGAAAGATAATGTATACATATATATATATATGTATATGTTTATATATATATGTAAGTATAAAGGCTTTACTGTGCTGCCATGGGTACCGTCAAGTCGCCCGGTCGCACCACTGACCCAGGCGGCTCCAAAAACGGCGGAAACTCCGGAGGCCATGGCATAAACGGAAGCCCAGGGTACCTGTCGACACCGACGTGGTTGTACCCGCGGACATTCGCCATCTCCACCTCCGGGACGAAGCACAGCACCCAGCGACCCCGCAGCAGGGTGACACCAGACCCAGGTGCTCGCCGCTGCTCATCGCCAGCATTCGTGGGATCAGCCATGGCGAAATGCTGCAAAAGCAGCTCTAGATCTAGAGCTATGCCTAATTAAGGCTCATGATGCATGAGCTGATGTATGTAGTTATCCTGGTATGTATATCATATATATATATATATACATGGTTGTAGTAGTATATATATATGTATATATTTAAGAGATCTCGACGGATCCGTCACCGAGCCGGCTTCAGCATGGAATCTGTATATATATATATGTATTATGTGTATATATATATAGGTATACATAAGCTACACACACGTATAGTATGTATCTCGCTAGTGTATATATATATAATACATATATGGTATGCATATATATGTACACATACGTATTCAACTATGTGACATAACACATATATATATATATATATTTAATTTTCCAGCTGCTCCGGCCACGAATCCGAAGGGAAGATCTCGACAAGCAGGGCTCAGACAAAAAGGCGAGGGTATGTCTATATGTATCCGTATATATTGTTGTACATATTCTAGGACCATGCCTGTGCACTAAGAAATATATATTCTAGCCAACTCAAACACTCCCAGCGGTCTGAGCCCATGCTTGCAACTGCAGGCACACTCAGTGGCCACAGACCTGGGTTTAGGGGGTCGTAGGATCCGAAGTTGGGGGTCCGAATTCCTAAGCCCCTCAACCCTAAACCTCGAAAGCCTCAACCCTAAACCCTAAATCGCAAAACCCTTAAAGGGTTCGACCCTTGAGGATCCAGGACTGACGGCACGTCACACAGCCCAAAACCAAGCAAAGCACGGAAACCTGATTTGTTCCTATGCCAAAGCCCAGACCAATAAATATATATATATATATATATATACAAAATATTTCCGCGACGACACATGTCTCCCCTGAAATCGCTCAAGGACACTGAAACCTCATCCCATCCACTGATTCCGGCCTCGGCAAAGGAAAGCCGCAGCTGGCGGGCACCGACCATGAATTACGAATTATTGGGAGCTCAGGCTTCTGTCATATATATATATATATGGCTATGCATGTAGCCTACGTCGTCTGTATGCACACGTGTTTATTTCATACGGGCCTCGGTGCAGTCTGGAGTGCGAGACATCTGGGGATTTCTGGCCGGTTCCTAATTATAATTATTTGAAAAACATATTCCTTGAATAGTCGTGACTGCACGCTATCTAGGATCATGGTCTTCCTAATTGCATGTACATGTATGCCTGCAAGCTCCTGGGCGGCGAAGCGGCGGGTGGCAAGGATTCGATATATATATATATATATATATATATGCAGCATGATAGATATGTATAAATAAATAAATATATATATATATATATATATATATATATATAATATGTGTATATAATAATAATAATAATAATAATAATAATAATAATATATATATATATATATATGTATATTTATATATATATATATATATACATATATTTGTTTTCGTCGTTCATGATGCTTGGTGGCTTCTGTGTCGGACAAATCTATGTGTGTGTATATATATATATATACATATATATATAATACATATACATATATATATATATATATTTAGATACATATATACATGTATATATAGAAATGAGAGAGACCTGATACACATAGAAAAACACGTGCAAGAATCTATAAATCATTGTTTTCTCAATTCAACCAACGTGTCGGAATTTAGTATTTTTTTCAAAAAAATCAATAAATCAAGCAAGCTCGCTATAAATGGCATCTTACCATGCATGTGTAAAGAGTGGACAGCATGCCATAGGCTAAAGTACATGAAATCCTAGGACTTTCATATATGACACACATGCTCCGTCCGGAACCACAAAAAACAAGGTCTTGCGTTGTTGTGCTACCCAAACCAGCACTATGGTCACATTTGAGGTCTTCGGATGCTTAGGGTAAGGGTTCCATAGGCACTTTAGGGTTTAGGGTCGCAAGGGATTCAGGGTTTAGGGCTCCGGCCGTTTAGGGTGAAGTACATAACGTCGTACATCGCCGGACACTGATCGTTGCGAGACAGAGCGCAGAAGCAGAACCCCGGAACGAAAGAGTCCCTGAGCAAGAAAAAACCCTCACGCCCCTAGACCGAAAATCTAAACCGCCAATCCTTAAAAGCCAGAAGCGAGAGCCCGTGACCTAGCACTTAATCCCCAAAGCCGAAAACCCATAGCCATAGCCAAAAGCCCAGAGCCCAACGACCCTAAATCCCTCGAGTCGCCCTCTGAGTTCCTACTGCCAAACTCAAGCTCCGATGCATCCACTCTAGGCGGCGACGTGTCGGCGACGCTCAGTCGAATAAAGGCTGGGGCATTGCCTTTGCATGATTCTTTGTCGTTGGGGGAGGTTTCGGTTTGAGACTTTGAGGTGGGCTTTAGTGTAGGTTTTTGCCCCCGCGAAGCTGAGAGCCCCACTTAACGGATCATGGGACTTAGTAACTAGGGTTATCAATAAGGTAACTATACTTATAGTTACTTACAGCCCCAATTAGGGGACTTATAACCTTATTTACTAAGTCCCATCATCCTCCAAGTAAGCCACAATATGCCTCAGCTCCAGGCGGCACTGCCCGCCGCGCGCTTTGCGCAGTTGACCTCTGTGGGCGGTCTCGTCGAGGACACGAACTCGCGGTCTTCCCCGAGAATCCTTCCAAGCTGCGGTAAACTTAACTTGCGTTAGTAGGGAATGGAGGAATGGGGTACAGTTATAACTACTATTACTACCATTCTTTCATTCCCTATTAACCGAAGGTAAGTAAAGCTGCGATAAACTACCATACGACACCACTGCATTCTGTACTATACCATAGTAGGTTTCCATACACGTTAGTACAATGCAACAGAAGGGACGACAATGATGGCCGACCACGACCGCCACGACTATCTACGTCACAACCATTACAAAGATGATCGTTGCCATCATTGCCACTATCTCTTCGAGTCTTGGTATCCCATTGTTGATACCTTTGGCTACCCTTCGGCTGTATTCGTATTCGACTTCGACTCCGACTATCAAGTGTTGCTTCATGTCATTAAAAAGGACGAACCCTAGTCTTTGGTAATACTCAAGCTACTGTCCTGATGTAGGATACAGGATACATCTTGATAAAGCCCTCGAGCCCCCGATCTCCGAGGCCCCGGAACATCCCAAACCCCGAAACCCACGACCGGCAATGGAGGACTCGCATCCTTGGCTTCAGGCCGAGTTGTGCATCTGTGCTTTGGGATGCTAGGGTTTCAGCCTTAGCCGGATGCATCATCTGGCTCATGTAGTATAGGGGCTTCATACTATGGTTGTGGTTCCTTACTATATGTACATTATGATATACCCAAAACCCTATTCTCGTTATGAGGCCCCATGTCATTTTAGCCGAAGGTCGAGCTGAGCCGCTGGTATTGGTGAGTTTGAGGCAGCTTCGTGAAAGACTCACCCCTTCTTCTCCAGGGCCCATGCATAGTTCAGGCTGATGCCACTCGTGCTGCGGCCGAGAAGATTTTCCCGACGCCTAGCTGCAGATCGGGTTGTGGGGATGTCAGTGACGGCCGCGACTGCAGTGACGGCGCCTGCAGCTATACCAGCGTAATGATGAAACAGACGGCAGCAGCAGCCACACTTCCTCAGTCGCCCTCCTGTCACTCCTCCCCACTCCAATCTGACTCATACCAAGCGGAATAGCACACCATGCTTTGTTGAACACTCCAGTAGCGACATTCATGTTCGCATTGGATACAATGCTGATCTCTGCGGCTGATCTGATGAAGATGGTAGCGTGGATGGGGATTCCTTTTCTCTGTGAAGTCTTGCAGTCTATCTTTCGAAAGGTGGGAATGCTTTTCAGCAGCTGTGCCGCATCGTGCGCTTCAGGAAAGCTGTGCCGGATGTGGCCTGGAACCTACAGCGACACGCCACAGGGGCACGAGATGGTTGGGCTTCCGCCTTCACAATAGGGTCTGGGCTTTGTCTGCAGTTCTGCATCGCATGAGCTTCAAGCATGTTGCCTGGCCGAGCATGTTCGTTGTGCCCTAAACCCCTGAACCCCTAAACCCCTTAACCCCCAAACCCCTAAACCCCAAATCCCTAAGCCCCTAAACCCCTAAATCCCTAAACCCCTAAACCCCTAAATCCCTAAACCCCTAAGCCCCTAAACCCCTAAGCCCCTAACCCCCGAAGCCCCTAACCCCTAAACCCCTGAACCCCTAAACCCCTAAGCCTAAACCCTAAACCTTCGAGTCGCCCCCGACTGAGGTCGCGGAGCTGAAAACCGGCTACCGCTGCGCGAAAACCTACGTGCACATGCGGGGCGGGTTTAGGGTTTAGGGTTTAGGGTTTAGAGTTCGTGTTGAGATTTCGAGGGCGAGATAATCATCAACTAGTTAACTAGCAGTGGTTAGTTTTATGCCACAGAAATGTGAGGGAAGCTATAAGCAACCATTGTAGTTGAGTCCAACGAGTTTTGGGGCTTAGGGTGTGGAATTTCATGCTTAGGGTTGTCGAGAGTTCTGGCAACTGGATCAGAGCTACAAAAGAAGCTTGCAGTGGCGCTGCTAGACCCTGCACCCTAAACCCTAAAACCCTAATCCTTAAACCCTAAACCCTAAAACCCTAAACCCCAAATGGTAACTAAACCCCCAAAATTCGAATCCCTCCGCCAGACCTGGCAGCGACGACTTCTCGACAACTATGGGGCTGGTCAAGGCTCCGACCTTCAGCGCACTCGCTTAAAACAAAGAGGCTTCGGCCAGGGTTGAGACTGTGTACGATTGTGCATGGAATTGGCTTTTTGAGCTGGATTTCGGGTGGGCTTGCAGTCATCACTGTACCAGGCCCGAATCCTGTCAAATTGTCGTCGTTGTTGCTGTTGCTCGCGAGGGTGCTGCTCGGATGGGTGCTGTGGTTAGTTTGCTAAACCCCAAACCCTAAATACCCAACAGACCGTAAATACCCTAAATACCTTAAATACCCTAAATTGCCTTAAATACCCTAAATACCAAAATACCCCAAACACCCCAAATGCCCTAAATACGTTAAATACCGTAAATACCCTAAGTATTCTTCTACATACCCTAACTACCCTAAAAGATTTTCAATACCCTCAAGACCCTAAACCCTAAACCTTAAGAACGTCTCGACAGGAGGCGGCAGGGACCGGATGGGAAGTTCGGGAGATCAAGCAGCTGCTGCCCAGCATGCGCCTGGGCACCTTTTATTCAGGGGTGTAGGACTTAGGCCAAGTAGTAGAGTAGATAATAGTTAACCTCTTCTGGGTAGGATAGTCCCGATATAACCCCTATATAACCAAAAAGGTTATATAACCTTCAGTTCCCCATGATACCCGACAAGCAGGTAGGGTTCCAGGGGGTTCTGTACGGGTATTTTTATATGGGTTGCTTCGTCGATACTCTGGTCGGGAAGCCTCAGTGGCTAGTGAGGTGGTCCTTGCAGAGGATTTCCATTCGCATCTCGAGTCCCATGTCTTACGTATTGTATGCGGCTTCCAGAGGTTTAGTCCAAGCTGGTGTTGTACCTGGACCTGGACTTCCTCCTCCTTCACTCATTGCTGCTTCTGCTGCTCCTGATTCTGTTCCTGCTCCGACTCCTACTGCTGTAACCAGTTACCATTAATTACTCGCAGTGACACCAGTGCTTCATTGCTGTTACGATAACCGCTACTAGTCACTACGATGCATGGCGTTATCGTCGTGGTTAAGCCTACTGTAGGAAAAAGTGTTCTTATGATTATGGTTTATAGGGACCCCTTAACCCGAAACCTAAACCCAAAAGCCTAAACCCCAAGCCTGAACCCTAAATGTAAACCCTAAACCCTGAATCCTATATCCTGAACCCTAAACCCTGAACCCTAAGTCTAAACCCTAAACCCTGAACCCTAAACCCCTTAACCCTAATCGTAGTTACGACTCAGGACCAAGTCCCTGAGCTCCGGAAGCCCCCCCAAACGAGCTTCCGAGGAGTCGGACCTGTGAAGTGCGATGCCCAGGAAGAGGGGTTCAGGGTTTAGGGTTTGCGGTTTAGGTTTAGGGTTTAGATTTAGGGTTCAGGGTTTAGGGTTTAGGGTTCAGGTTTAGGGTTTAGATTTAGGGTTCAGGGTTTAGGGCTCAGGGTTTAGGGTTTGGATTTAGTGTTCAGGGTTTAGGGTTTGAGCCCAGATGAACTCCCTTCTTTGACTTATGTTGTCACCGCTGCATGTGCTTGGGGAAGTTTAGGGTGCAGGGTTGATTAGGGTTTGGGCTTTGGCCTAGACACCCTTACTTAAGTCCTGCATCCTAAACCGGAACCTTCAACTTAAATCTCAGACGCTGGACCCTGACTTGCGAAAGTATCCAGGTCCAGAACCTCGGACCCTAACCCCCAACACCCTTATCCTAACCCCGTAAAGGAACCCTTCCAAGGAACCCTTTAAACGAACCGTTTAAGGGAGCTCTTCAATCGGAACCCTTTACAGGAACGCCCTTAAAGGAACCCGTTAAAGGAGGCCTTCAAAGAAGCCCCAGCAGAACAGGAGCCCTTCAAAAGGAACAGTTGAAACCCATCCTTAAAGGAACCCTTAAAAGATCCCTTGAACAATTCCTTAAAGGAACCCTTAAAGGAGCCCTTAAAGGAACCTTGTAAAGGAACCCTAACCCCTACTGAAACTAACCCTAAACCCTAAACCCTAAACCCCACTGAAACCCTAAGCTGCATGGAATCCTTAAGAGATGCAGGTCCAGAGCTCGACGGTGAACAAAGCAGACGGTCTCCGCGAGCTCTGCAAGGCCCCCCGCCCTGGCTGCTCTAGATTTTGAGAAGGGCTTGGCTGAGTTTGGGTGTAGGGCTTTAGGGCTTTGGGGCTTTAGGGCTTTGGGGCTTTAGGGTTTAAGGCTTGTATCGGGTCAGGGTTTCAGGTTTGGGGTTTAGGGGTTAGGGTGTAGGGAGGCGTCCGGAACAGGGTTGTACAAGGCTTGTGCGGGGTTCTGGGATTCAGAAAAGGCGCAGTTTTCTGAACGATCCAAGAAGATAAGGGCATTCTGGTCGCATGCTTCGGTGACTTCAACACCTGCTTTTTGCCTTGAACTCTTGTCTATGGCATACTCGGAGGATCAGGGGACTTAGTAAGTAAGGTTATAAGTACCTTAATTGGGGCTATAGGTATTTACAAGTATAGTTACCTTACTCATAACCCTAGTTACTAAGTCCCATGATCCTTTAAGTACCTAGGATGCCCAGTAGTACCCGTATTCCTTTTTTGTAGTCGTAGGTTCCATATAAAGCTACCCAATACCAAAAAGAGAGGCCTTTTTATTCTTAGGTTACTGGGTATCCTAAGTACTCTTAGTTGCCAAAGCCATCGCTAAAAACCGAGCTCTGGAGTTTCAGGGTCTGCCTTCACCCCTGGCTTTTTAGGGCTCCTTATGATGATTTCCTTTTCTGGGAGTTTCCGAAAACTAGGGGTACCATAGTTTGGGGTCCTTATAATAAGGATCCTACTATTTCGGGTACTTAGGGCCCCCTATTTTCGGAAACTCCCAAATCAGCCCTTAAAAAGCTAGGTTCTTCAGGTTTCCGGTAGGGTTCTAGGGTTAGGGCCTTAGGGTTCTGGCATCCTCGAAGTTCCGAAGATTAGGGGCACCTTTTCTAAGGGATCCCTTTAAGGGTTCCTTAAAGGGATCTACAGGGGTTCTACAAAGAGTTTAGGGTTTTAGAGTTTCTGAAAATTAGGGGCACCTCATCTGGGGGTCCTTATGATACGATCCTATTATTTAGGATACTATATATTCGGGTCCCCAATTTTCGGAAACTCCCATGTTTTTTTGTTGTGGCAGGCCATCGACGTTCCCATGCAGCATGCTCGGGACTCAGAATTTGTTTGGTTCCTCGGAAAGCGGGGCTTCACCCCAAATCCCTGAGCCCGAAACCCTACCTGAACTCTTGGTCGCCATCATCTTCATCGTCATTGCCGCCAAACTCATCAGGAGCATCTTCATCACCAGCATGAAAACAATCATCACCATCATCACCTATGAAGTTATAGATCCCTTATAGTACCCTTTCTGAGGCCTGTCAGTTTGATGGCAGAGGTCGATGCACGAGGGGGCAGCGGAAGCATAATCAGATGCTGACCATCATCGGTTGACATTCCTGCGTCGCGGGATTGCCAATTGCTTAAAGATCCCTGAAAGTAAGCAGCCATAGACCCCTCATGGCAACAACGAGCAGCGGACTGCCGTGGCGCCCCCAGAGAGCCCAACACCCCTTAACTAAGGAACATAGCTTAAATCATAATATGAATCCCCTTATAGTTTAAGGTATATTCCTTAATTAAGGGGTATCGGAAACCTTAATCCCTATAGATCCCTTATAGATCCCTTTTAAAGGAACCCTATAGGTATATTCCTTAATTAAGGGGTATTTTGGGCTCTCTGGGCTGAGGCCTGGGCCTTCGGAGACGACGCGAATGATGTGCGGATGCTGTCTGAAGTCGGTCGCAGGCTCAGAGGCTTTTGGAGCATACGGCTTAGGGCCTTCGGGTTTAGGGGTTTAGGGTTTAAGGGTTACCTTGACCCTGAAGAACGTACCTTTTTAAGGACTTATATAAGGAAATCATAATGAGGAGCCCTAAAAAGGTAGGTTCTTCAGGGTTAAGGTAGGGCTTTCAGGGCTCACGGCCTTGCTTTTTGGGCTTGCGAAGCCTGGGCTGTTCTTTGAGCTTGGGTTGGAACGTCACGTGGTTGGATGCTGATGTAAGACGTGTTACTGTGTTTGGGTGCGACCCTCCTGCGAGTGGAAGTCTCTAGGACATTGAAAGATCCTCGGCCGTTTGGAACGAAGCCCCATCCCTCTTTTTCAGGACCACTGCGCCAGCATGAAGTTATTGCGGCGAGGGTGTGGATGCTTGTTACTTGGAGGATCAGGGGGCTTAGTAAGTAAGGTTATGAGTGAGGATAGTTACCTTATTTTTCACCCTAGTTACTAAGTCTCATGATCCCTCAAGTGCAGGACATGAGAAATCACGAAGTTCTGGATCCGGTGGGCGAGGATACAGGGTGGCAGATTGCGGCTGGGATGTCGAGGTTCAGGCTTGCCTTCGTGTTCTCGTCTTATCAACCGAGAGGCTAACGGTTAGGGTTTAGGGTTTAGGGAACTTCACACTACTCTGAAAAGCAAAACACGGACACGGAGTCCCGAACTATCAGCCCGAAGCCCTGAAACCTCAATTCAACCTGCATCTCTGATGGACGAGACCAGGTTGGGGTGTTCGCATGGCCAACCACCTGCCAGCGCTGGCTGGGGTAGGTTAGAACCTGAGCAGGTTTCGTCTAGAGGCTTTTGGGTTTAGACCTCATGGTTTGGGAGTTTTGGGTTGAGAGTTTGGGTTTACCCTTAATGGGGACCCCTACCCTATGATGGGCTGTATAATGGGTATATAATAGCTATATTAGGTGATACCTAGGGGTCCTTATTAAGGGTCCCTCCTTTTGCCCTTGAACCCTTAGGGTTTAGGGGTTTGGGTTTAGATTTAGCACTTCGGGTCTCGAGCTCGGGCTGAGGCCTCTGGTTTCGGGTCCAGCACTCTGTTGGTTTCCACTTAAGGGGTCATGGGACTTAGTAGGGTTATAAACAAGGTAACTAGACTTATAATTACTTATATATAACCCCAATTAGGGGACCTATAACCTTACTTACTAAGTCTCCTGATCCTCCAAGCAGGTTTAGCTTTTCAAGTGGTTAAGCTTTTGGGCTTTGCGTGTCGACTTCGCTGGGGTCGTAGGTTTACGGTTGAGGCCAAGGGTGTTAATCAGTGTAAGCCCTTGTAGAACTCGTATAGAACCTGCCAAAAATACTTAACAGAATCCAGAATCCTTCAAGAACTCCCATGGAATGCTGTTTTGATTCTAACCGAACCCTTAGCTTTTTCTGTTGCCCATCATGTCACCCCTAGAGAAGCCTTGCCGGACCCTAAAACCCAAACCCAGAAATTCGATTTTTGGAGCCCTTGACGGACAATTCGAGCCCCAGAGTTTGTCGGATGAAGCCCTAAACCCTAAACTCCTAGACTCCTAAACCCTCAGCGCTTGTTCAGGTGAAGCCCTAAGCCCGAAGCCCTCAACCTCTAGAGCTTTTTTGGATGTTTTGTGGGTGCGAGGCCAGGATGTGACTGACTTCACGAACGAGGAGCTTCAGAGAGGGAACTGCATGGGTTGGGGCTTCTTGGGGGTTTAGGGTGTACGGTTTAGGGGGGTTGAAGGAGTTTAGGGGGTTTAGGGTGCAGGGTTTAGGGCTTCTTCGTTGTGCCTTTACAGGGGTTTTGTGGGTTTTGTTCTTGGTTTCTTTTGTTGAGGTAGCTCAGGATTTGGGGTATTCCGGGTATTCAGGTTGGGGGGTATGAGGGAACTGCTGGGGCTCCTCTTTTGCTTGGACGTCGACGACACCTAAGACAAGGCAATACACCTCAATGCGGCAGAATATAGTTTAGTATCGAAGGGCCAAACCGCAAGCCCTAGACCCTATATCGTAAAGCCTGCACCTTAAACCGTGCTTGCTTGTGCTCCTTGTAAACCGCCAGAACCGAGGCTCCCAGAAGCTCAGTACCAGAAGCCTTCGAAGTTTTATTTCGGGTTTCTCCACAGTTGGGTAAGCCCAAGCTGATGTTCCGATCGGTTTCCTGGCCAGGAGGATGGGGTCGCCAAATATCTCCATGCGCACTTACTCTCAGGCCGGCTCGCTGGTTTTGATGAGACTGCCCGCCCTCGCAAAGCTTCGTTTCTTTGCCTTTGGTATTGCAGCTGCTGTTGCTGCAGCTGCTGTTGTTGTTTTTTGCTGCTGTTTCTGCTGCTGGTGCCGCACCATCACTGTTGCTATCTTCAGACGGTGCCGCCGCCGTCGGAGCTATCAATGTCGCCACCCCAACTAGCCTCCGCCCCCTGATGATCATAATGCTTCTTTTGCTGCTGTCCGATCTTGCCAAATCCCTTAGCCCCCTAAACCTTAAAACCATTGAAAAGTCCAGACCCCCGAACCTTACACCCCAACTCCTTGAAAATAAACCCCTATATTCTATATAAGTCCCGACAGTCTGAACCCGACAGGCGCAAGGTCATGGTCGCTAAGGAACCTCATGCAAAGCGGCAGTACTGTATAGGCCAAGCTTTATGAAGCCGTGGCGTTACATGGTGTTTGTCACACAATGCTCGCACAACCATGGCGTCTGGAACTTGGTATTCTTCGGCCGTAAACCCTGAACCCTACACACAAAACCCTAAACGCTGAACCCTAAACACTATAAGCCCCTATAGATCCAAAGCAGGCGACGCCCCGCCAGCGCCGTGAGAACGCCCGCAATGTCCTTACCTGAGATGCTGCAAGGTTCTCTGCTCAGATTTCCAGTCACTGGGAGAGAGCTTTGAAAGCTGTGCGAGTCTGTGTAGCTGCATTGCAACGTGAGTTGATCGCATCGCCCTTTGCTCAAGCAGCTCCTGCGAAACCTTCTTCTTCACAAATGAGCACAAAAGGAACCCCAGAAAAAGTGATTTCCGGCAGGTTCAGGTACATCTGCAGCTTGGGTCATGGAGTTCTCATGCTGTGGTCCAGGTAGAAGCCGGAGTAGCCAGGAGCCGAAGGGCACCACGGAGAGGCCTCGAGCAGTTGGTCAGTGGCGATGCGGCCCAAGTGGCAAGCGCCGCTCAAGGGCTGATTTGCATAAATCTGTCCGATTCCCAGAAACGCACCGCTGTGGAGGCTCTGGTGCAGGCGCTGATGAACCACCCCGGCCATGCCGAAGTGCAGCGACATGCGAGCAATGCTCTGGGAAAGCTATGCACCGGCTCCGAACAGCGTGCTGCGATCTGAGCCCTGGAGGCCCTGGTGAAGGCGCTCGAAAGTCACTCCGGCCATGCTGATGTGCAGGGCAGTGCGAGTCTTGCTCTGGGAAACCTATGCGCCCTCTCCCCAGAGCGCGCTGCGAAGGCCTTTGAGCTGGGAGCCATGGAGCCACTGGTGCAGGCCCTCGAGAGCCCCCGCAAAGTGCAGGCCGAAGGGAGCGTTCCTGGCCCTCACCGCCTTCGCTCTGACTCTACCTCTTCCTGGATGGCGGACTCGATGGCGGACTCGGCCTCTTCCTCTCGCTCTCCCTCTCCCTCCCCCTCTCCCTCTCGCTTTCCCCGTCTCTCCCCCTCTTCCTCTCGCTCTCCCTCTCCCTCCCCTTCTCCCTCCCCCTCTCCCTCTCCCTTTCCCCTCTCTCCCCCTCTTCCTCTCGCTCTTCCCCTCTCCCTCTCCCTATCCGTCTCCCTCACGCGACGCCAACTCCGAATTCATCAAAGCGACGACAGCCACTCTGGAGGGTCTGGGGAATGCACTCAAGAGCAACAGCCACGCAAGCGATGCGCAAGTGCAGTGCAACGCGAGCCTTGCTCTTTCAAGCCTATGCACCGGCTCCGAAGAGCGCGCTGCCCTCGCTGGGAGCCCTGGATGCCCTGGTGAAGGCGCTCGAGAGCCATCCCAGCCATGCCGACCTGCAGCGAGCTGCGAGCCTTGCTATTGGAGAATTATGCCAATTATGCGCCAACTCCCACGAGCGCGCTGCGAAGGCCGCTGAGCTGGGAGCCCTGAAGGCTCTGGTGCAGACTCTGACAAGCCACACCAGCAATGTCTCCGTCCAGCGCGTTGGGATCATTGCTCTGGGAAACTTATGCCAAGACTCCCAAGAACACGCTGCGAAGGCCGCTGAGCTGGGAGCCCTGGAACAGCTGGTGAACGCCCTCGAGAGCCACCCCAGCCCCAGCCCTGCCGAAATGCAGCAGCGAGATGCGAGCTTGGCTCTGGTACGCTTATGCGGCGACTCCCAACATGCAATGGTGAAGGCACTGGAGAGCCATTTCAGCAATGGCGGAGTGCAGCGCGATGCGAGCCGGACTCTGGGAATCTTGTGCAACGACTCGCAAGAGCGAGCTGCGAAGGCCGTTGAGCTGGGAGCCCTGGAGGCCCTCGTGAAGGCTTTCGAAAGGCACCCCAGTGATGCCGAAGTGCTGCGCTTTGCAAGCTATGCTCCCTGAAGGCTCTGGTGCAGGCGCTGACGAGCCACTTCTGCGACAACTCCCAAAAGCGTGCTGCCAAGGCCGCTGAGCTGGGAGCCCTGGGACCTCTGGTAAAGGCGCTCGAGAGTCACCCCAGCCATGCCAAAGTGCAACACGCTGCGAGCCGGGCTCTGGGAAACTTATGCGCCAAGTCCCACGAAGGCGGCTGAGTTGGGAGCACTAGAAGCTGTGGTAAAGGCGCTCGAGAGCCACCCCAGCGATGTCGAAGTGCAGCGAGCTGCGAGCGACTCTTTGGAACAACTATGTGCCAACTCCCAAGATCGCGCTGCGAAGGCCGCTGAGCTGAGGGTAAAGGCGGATCCTAAAGCAGGCGGAACCCGGCCCAGCATCCCAGACGCGACTCCGGAGAGCCCCATCGAAGCACCGGCAGCCTTGATTGAGTTCGCCAGCAGAGAGATCACAGATGCCATGAAGAGCAGTACCAACCAGCCATGAGTGATGTGGAAGGCTTCCTTGTACAGATGGTTTCACGATTTCGTCGGGCTTGCACTTGGCGACCTGACCCAGTTGCACACATAGGCACCGTACATTTTGCCATAGACAGTCTTGGAAAACATGCGGTGGCTCTTTTTGCTATCTAAAGTGTACTCGTGAAGCTAGGTGTGACTCGCGATGAAAACCAGGTGAATTGCCGGTCTTGGTGCTGCGCATGTTGCGCATGTGAGTGGTTGTCAAAATTATGGTCCTTTTTTGGGTACTCTAAACATTAGGTGCCGTACTATATTCGGTACCCCTAATTTTCGGAAACTCCCATGGCTTGTCTTGACATCTTGAACGCGGCTGGGGTCCACGGCAAGTTCTGCAATCATCCCCGAGCCTGCACGAGCGCAGCATGAACTTACCTTTGGTTAGTAGGAAATGGAGGAATGGGGTAGAATTATAACTACTATTACTACCATTCTTCCATCCACTACTAACCAAAAAATCGGCCTCCCTTTCGTTGTTTGTCCTCTCTCCTGTTCAGTGAATGGAAGAATGGTGGCCTCCCTTTCGTTGTTTGTCCTCTCTCCTGTTCTCGCTGTCTCCTCCCTCTGACCCTCGCTCCTGGCGAAGTCTTGTCAGGCTGGAGCCGGCCACTTCCCCGGACAAAGGCTGATCGGGCTAACAACAGTAGTAGTAGTAGTAGTAGTAGTAGTAGTAGTAGTAGTAGTAGTAGTAGTAGTAGTAGTAGTAGTAGTAGTAGTAGTAGTAGTAGTAGTAGTAGTAGTAGTAGTAGTAGTAGTAGTAGTAGTAGTAGTAGTAGTAGTAGTAGTAGTAGTAGCAGTAGTAGTAGTAGTAGTCGTAGCAGTAGCAGTAGCAGTAGCAGTAGCAGTAGCAGTAGCAGTAGTAGTAGTAGTAGTAGTAGTAGTAGTAGTAGTAGTAGTAGTAGTAGTAGTAGTAGTAGTAGTAGTAGTAAAAGTAGTAGTAGTAGTAGTAGTAGTAGTAGTAGCAGCAGTAGTAGTAGTAGTAGTAGCAGGAGTAGTAGTAGTAGTAGTAGTAATCTTGTGTGATGGTGACGCACCCTTTCGCCAGCCACTACGAGGCACCGCTGGGGATCCTGGCAACGGCAGCTCAAGATAGGACAGAGACTACTTAAAGGATCAGGGGACTTAGGAAGTAAGGTTATAAGTACCCTAAATGGGGTTATAAGTATAGTTACCTTATTTACTAGTTACTAAGTCCCATGATCCTTTAAGTAGTCTTACCAACGTGGAGCGGTCCATGTTGCCAAGGCCTGCGTGCGATGAGCGGAGATAGAAGAAGGGCAGCTACTTGCCCAGCTGAACTTGTACACTTCACCTGTGCGCATTTCGTTTCATCCGACAAGTTTGAGAAATGGATGTGGCATTCAGCAGAATATGTAGTATATACTACAAGGTATTAATATTAATAATTGATAATAATAAAAGCAATAATAATAATGATGATAATAATAATAATAACAATAATACTAGTAGTAACAATAGTAATAATATTCTAACAATATGAATAATAATAAATATGTATATATATATGTATATATATATATATATGTGTATAAATATATGATATATATATATGGTATACACGAATACAAGAAGTATATATATATATATACATACATATACATATCCCAGGCCTTCGCATGCAGTAGCCAGAAGGATCCGCTCTCGACCAAATCACATCGTCCGGCAGGTGCCTTGAACGCCGGCCCCTGGAAGAGCTGCGGAGGCCAGGCGTCGGCAAGGTAAAGGAATGCAGCCGGCTGTCACTATGGCAAAAAAGTAGTAACAGGAAGGAACAGTAACAGTAACAGTGATAGTAACAGAGTAATATAGAAATAGAGTAATATAGTAATATAGTAATATAGTAATATAGTAATATAGTAATATAGTAATATAGTGATATAGTAATATAGTAATATAGTAATATAGTAATATAGTAATATAGTAATATAGTGATATAGTGATATAGTAATATAGTAATATAGTAATATAGTAATATAGTAATATAGTAATATAGTAATATATAGTAATATAGTAATACAGTAATATAGTAATATAGTAATATAGTAATATAGTAATATAGTAATATAGTAATATAGTAATATAGTAATATAGTAATATAGTAATATAGTAATATAGTAATATAGTAATATAGTAATATAGTAATAGCTGTCCGATCCATGTTACGGTTCTTCGGCTGTTGCTGTCAGATTTGATTTTTGTGACGTGCTGTTCATCGTCTGGTCACTTTATGGTTCTTGGGCTGTTGCTGTCAGTTCTGCTCTGTGCTGCCAAACCGCAACATGCACATGCATCCAAATGCCTATGTATCTGCATTTGTAAGTAGATAGATAGGCTGGAGTTTTGCCAATATGTACAAACATGCATGCTACATGGACCATGGGCCCTCACTCACTGTATGCTGCACACTGAATGCATGCACGGGCCATAGTGTCTAGAGTTCCCATCTTTCCACACATGCCATACACTTGGTGTAACCCGAAATTGCGTTGCACCGTATGCTGCTGCTGTGTGTTGCAGGAGGCAATGCATCTCCAGCAGCGGGGTAAGAGTGCAGGCAGTTTGTCGGCGCGAGATGTCGTCATCAGTGAAGCGGCAGCGTACAAAAAAACTAGAGAGGCGTTCCGAATAGTATTCGGGTGTTTCCTTTCGACAGTCGATGGACAACCTTTCCCTTTCTTCCACAGGCGCTCCTGAACTAATGGATGCTGATATCTACGCTACCCTAAACCCTAAACCCTAAACCCAAGCATGGATGGGTCATTCGGAGTGGAGCTCTCCGGCTTCGAACGGTACAGATTGCCAGCTGCAAGCTTGTCTGGTCGGACGTTTTGTCTCGTAGAAAGCATGGTGAGCCTGTCGCCCTAGTAACAGGTTCCTGATCATAATTATGGTTATAGTATAGTAATCATTAATGCCCCTATATATTATCTTCAAGAAGCGCTTCTGTTTTGACCCAGCTATTGCTGGAGTCAATCCAACCTACCCCAACCCCGCAACCCATCCAGAACCCTAAACCCTAAACCCTAAACCCCAAGCCCTAAACCCCAAGCCCTAAACCCTACTAAACCCTATAAACCCTATAAACCCTATAAGCCCTATAAACCCTATAAACCCTATAAACCCTAAGCCCTAAACCCCAAACCCTAAACCCTATAAACCCTATAAACCCTATAAGCCCTAAACCCCAAACCCCAAACCCTAAACGCTAAACCGTCCTGGCATTTAGTGCCTCTCGACACCCTTCGGGCTTCGGAGATCAGGAATTCAATAACAGCCTAAACCCGCGCAGGTAGATTTCAGAACACACACGCTCGCATATGCCGTCCTTGGGTCGCAGCGTCAGCAGAGCTGACAGCAGAGAGGTCGGTTGAAAAGCCAGTTTAGGGTTGAAGCACCGAATCTGCTTTGTCCATGGAGTTTGGACATCTTAGGTGCGCCTTTATTGACGACTCTTCGAAGGGATCTCGAGCAGAGATCAGCCTGTGCAAATCGAATCAGCACAGGATTGCCTGTATAGCACTAGACAGCCAAAGCCCTGCAGAGACTGTTAGGCACTGTCGTGATACGTCGTCGCAAACCTACCACAGCAAATCCCATGTCGGAGTCTGAGCCTCTCAACCTAGCGACTCTTCAGGCAGAGAGCCACTCCCAAGCTGATTTCATGCCATCATTGTTAAGCTACGGCCTCCGGGAAAGTTTCTACTGATAACACACCAGTGCTGCTACAATCACTGACTATTGCGACTGGAAAGCTGCAGCCATGTCTGCGGCATTTATGGACTTCCTGACTTCGAAGCTTTCCGAGTCTCTCGGATTCATCGGCTTAGGTTTCGGAATCTGTGTGTGTGTGTTTTTTTTTTTTTTTTTGGGGGGGGGTTGTTTAGGGCGGAAAGAGGGTCGTGGACGTTGGTTTCAGGAATCGGGTGTGGGACCAGGGTTGAAGGTCTCGCAATTTAGTGCTCGGAGTTATGTGATGCAAGTTATCGCTGCTCTTGCTGCTGCTTCTGCTGCTGATGCGGTTACCACTGCCAGGGCCACTACTCCGACATCCAGCACCAACTTCGACAAACTGCCGCAGCAGCTACTACACGTAAAACTGCACAGCAGCAACAGCTGTTCTGGTCTATGTCGTGGTCGTGGTTACTGTTTTGCTGCTGCTGCTGCTGCTGCTGCTGCTGGTGCTGGTGGTGGTGGCGGCCGCAGCGGTGGTGATGGTGGTGTCGTTGTTGTTGGTGTTGTTGCCGCTGCTGCAACGGCTATAACTGCAGCGGCTGGTGCAGAGTAGTCCGACCTTCCCACTGAATGTGCCCCTATACCCTAAACCCGAAACCCCAAGAGACCCTAAACCCCAAAGCCCTAAACCCTAAACCCTAAAACCCTAAAACCCTAAAGCCCTAAAGCCCTATAACCCTATAAACCCTAAACCGTTGCTCACGTTCCGCCCTGACAACGCGCCTTGGAGTGAAGCCCATGTGGCCAGGGGCCTAAATAATTACCAATTCTGTTCTGGGGGTTCCTTATTATAAATATAGGGTTTAGGGTTTAGGGTTCCTTACTGTATAATTATAGCCTAACCGGGACCCGAAACTTCATTCTAAGTATTAAGGCCCCTATGTTACAACCCTACACCTTCACTTGGACCATGATGCACCCAGGGTGGAGCCTCGAACGGTGCTGGTTCTCTTGTCTGACCCTCAGCGGTTGAGGGTGCTTGACTTCCAGTGAAGTTTAGTAATAATAGTAACATAAGTAATAATCGTAATGATAGTAGTAATAATAATCGTAATAGTAGTACTCGTAGCAATAGTAGTAATAGTAATAATAGTAATGGACCAGGATTTTCGAGACGTCGGCTGAGTCTGGACTTATTTCAGGAGAGCCGGGTTCGCTTATGCGAGGTTGCAAGAGTAAGCTGGGGGTGTGCGAGGCACACCGAGGGACCCGTAATGGGGACCTCTACCCTATAATGGGCTATATAATGGGTATATAATTCATATTCAGGGTATCGGAAACAAAGTATGCATTCCTGGAGGTGGAAGGAGGCGCGGGGAGCTCTCGCGTGCAAAAGCCTTGCACCGCGCCATCTTTCCAGACGGAGGGCAGAGAATCAGAAAGCTTTTCCTGGTTCTTCTGGCTATTCGTTCTCTGTTGCTTGTATCAGCGTGGACTACAACTTCCAACTCTACTACAAGCAAAGGCTAGCGGCTAGCAGAACGAGTTTAGCAACGTAACAAGTACAATGTTCGGAAAGCGCAGAAGAATCCAAATATGTCTGATATAGTTGTTTCGAGCCTGCGAGAAGCCGACGAAGGCCTCCGGAGTAACATTATGAGGAAACAGGTCGAACAAGTTATAGATCTAGCAAGAAAGACTGGTAAGCACCGGCAGGAGAAGGGCTAAGATAATTCCTGAACATAGGCAGTTCACATTACATCAGCTTGAACCCAGAGGTCTCGATTTATAAGCAAATATCATCAAGTATCTGCGCCAAGCCCTACGCCCGAATGCCACTGCGTCAGCTACACCGCGTGCTTGCCGGGTTGTCCATTTGGGCTTGCAGGTTCAGGCTTTGAGGCTACACCAAACCAGAAAATCCTAAACCCCAGACCTAAACTCTGCAAGTACGGCACATAAGCCCTCAGCCGCAAAAACCTTAAACCCCTCAACCACGCCATCCCTGAACCCCCCTACTCCCCTTAACCGGCTCGACTTCCTCTCCCCAGGCTGCTTGCTTATGTGCTGCTGCAACTCAGCCGTGCCGGATCGAAGGTGCGAGGGCTACGGAAATCCGCAAACCCAGCTTTGTCCGTCTGCGCACGCGTCCTTGCTCTAGTATAATATGAGTCGTATAGTATATATTAATAGTATAGTATAGTACAGTATAATATTGTTATAGTACATTACCGTCTAGTTTTTTTGGTATAGTTTTCGTCAAGAAGAAAGTTGGAATATGGTTTCATGGTAGGATACCTTATAATTTACCATAAAGGGTTTAGGATAATCATATTCCAACTTTCTGGCTTTTACTGTATTCATAAATACTTTTCAGAGCCCCAAAACTGCAACCCAGAAGAAAGAAGGCTGAAGGCCTGCAGCTCGCGAAGGCTTTGACCCTCAACCATACTTGGAGGATCATGGTAAGCAAGGTCTCTAAACGGGTTTCTATAGAGGTTCCCACAAGGGTCTCTGCGAACGGACTGCGATGCCTTGTCAAGTTCTAAGGTGTCACTATAAGAGCTGTGAGCAAGACCGTGTAAAGTGCAAGGGAAGGGGGCACGCTACGCGTCCCTCGACTCTAAGGGGGCATGCTACGCATCCCTCATCTTTACCTTTCTATGTGACCGCCAACGCAACGTTTGGCTCAAGTCAATGCCCATAGCTAAGTGCTATATGTGTCTTCTATCCTGAGCAATCAGAGCTATCCCGTTGCACAGACGAACCGCCGCCGGCAGTGAGTGCAAAAGGAACGGCCGCCGGTTCTGCCTGCATAGGATTGCACGTGTGGAAGTAAGAGGGAGAGACAGGGTCCAGTCTGTGGAGAGTGCTAGCCAGCCACACCTACATTCATTACAGCTCTGGTGGGGAGAGCAGCAACCAAGTCGAGATCAATCCCCCACGCAGGTTATCAGCCGTACGCGGCTCTGCCTTTCTACAGCAACGACTACTTGATCTACTACGACCACAATGAACTCAGGATCAAGCCAAGATACGACAATGACTTTCGGTGCCGATGTGGCAGCGCCAGCCGTTGGTGAGTCAACAGCTGATGACACAGTGGTGCAATCCGTTGATAGCTCCACGGAAGATGACAAAGGTCAATCTTCTGCGCTTGCCATTGCAAAGGCAGTTCCCAAGGGGAAAGCAAAGAGTCTACCAAGAGCATCTACGCCTTCGCGTCCGACATCCACAGGTTCGAGGACGGGCAAGGCTTCAGAACGACGGGCCGAAGCGTCTGGTTTTCAGGCACCTCGGACCACGTCCAGGGCCAAGGACAAAGGAGTCAAGACCTTGGAAAAGAAGTCAAGACCATCATCTTCGAGAAGCTCTTCAGCACGATCGAGGACTTCGGCTACTCGTGGGCGTGACAAGTCCATGACTTGGAATCGGATGGTTACCAATCAACCACGCGATGCTGACGATCTGGATATGACTCTGGATACGATTCCTGCACGTGGTGATGCGTCGTCCGTGGCCACGCCTGCCATAGCTGATGGTCCGAACGCTTATCAGGAACTGACGATTTCGCAACAGTTCGAAGCATCGAACCTTGCACAGCAGATGTACTATCGCAGTCAGGTGCAAGAATACGAAGGAATCGTCCAGACCCTGATGGACAAGATCAAGGAGATGCAACAAGAAGATGAAGGATCTGGAATTCGCATTGAAGAATTGGAACGACAACGTGACCATGCATGCTTAGCCATGAGGCACATCAACAATGTCAATCAGGAGATGAAGCGAGACTATGAAACAGCTTTGTTTCGCATGGATGAACAGAACTCTGCTCAACAACGTCAAGCACATGCCGTTGCCGAGGAGTTAGCTCAACAGCTACACGTGTTCCGCACGGAGGCAGCCACTAACTTTGTGCAGTTGGAGGCAAGAGCGCAAGGCGATGGTGAGCTTATGGCACGTGAGTATGAGCGTCTGACTCATGAACTTCATGAACACGCCAGAGAGAACTTGGTCCTCCGGTCAAACACAGCAAGTTCGGAACAAGCCTTACAAGCAATGCAGGAACGATTCCACTTGGTCAAGAACCAGGAGTTGCGGGCTGTGAACGAGATCCAAGGGCTAGCTGGAAACAGCGCAGCCATTGATCAAGAACGATTTCGGCTTCGCGAACGTCTTGGTGAAGAGGAAGAGTACCGCAAAATGGCTGTGAAGAGGATGCAAGAAGCAGAGGACCGACTTCATCAGAATGAAGATCATGCAAGGCGATCATTGCCTACCTTGCACGACGAGCTGAGTGAACTCAGGAAAACGCTCAAAGCACAAGAAGATCTTCAAGCGAGGACACGCAGCGAATTGGAGGCAGCGCGAAACTCCAATTATGGAGGAGCGACACGGCCTTCAAGCATGCCCATGTCTTCGAGGACTACTGAGTCTGGCTGGGAGCACGTAGGAAAGGAAGTAGTGCCTGCATTTTCCGTAGGAGGTGAGGTACGATCCCCTGAAATACGGTCCCCAAGTCAAGTTAGTCCAGTCGCCAAAGAGAAGTTCGCATTCTCGGAATCGGACAAGGACAAGAACCTTGTGATGGATGGAATTCCATTCACCGGTGGAAACTTCTTCACTGGCCGCAGTTCAATGCCAATCGTGGCGGATGCAATGCCCGAGCACTACGTGCCAGGTATTAGCAGCCCAGCACTTGCGCGTTCCACGCCTAGTGCAGCCACTTTGTTCGGCATACCAAGCGGATTTCATGGGAAAAGTGATGCGGCAGCCGTGCGTGATCGACAGCTACGCGAACTCTTGGAGGATCGCGGGATGTTGGGATCGAAGTCCACAGCATCTGCCAGCTCCTCAAGACCTGTTGGTATCGACGGTGTTACCGCATCTACGAAGGGCAACGACCTCATCGGTCCCCCTATTGCCTATGACGATTCCATTCATGAAGCAAGGAGACGTCAGATCGAGAAAGAGGTCGCGGAACGGTACGAGGAGAAGATTGCCGATCTGCGAAGCGAAGTACTCAAGGCCCAGAAAGCCGAACAACGTCTCAGAGCTGATCGTGATGAGTGGAGATTATTCGCTGAAACGATTCAGGAGGATAATGGAGACGATGACGGTGACGAGGCTGGCGACGAGAACGAAGATGGAGAGCACGATGAAGGAACCGGCACGGGGTATGACCCTCCTGACCCGCCTGACGATGATGATGATAAGAAGAAAAGCGGTGGAGGCAAACCTGAATCGGATCCTGGCTCGCATGCGCGTGATCCTGATGGAGACGCGGATCCTGAAGTCACAGAGGTGAGAATTTCCAGGAGGGAAGCCGACAAAGTGACCGTTCCTCCATGGCCTACTCTCACTCATCTCAACAACTGGCGATCCGTGTGCACGGCCAATGTCTTAGGAGCATCAGCCGACCCACATCATGAAGACTGGATGTTATGGCTGGCACCAGCGTTCAACCCATTCCCTGATGTCGAAGCATTGAATGATTCAGGACACAAGAAGTTCAAGAGCATAGACGTCAAATTGGGGATCGCCATGGTCGCAATGCTACGTGCCGGTGGTGACAAATCAGCTGACCTGTACCTTGAGGTGAACCGGAAGGCTAACGATTACATCAGCAGGCCCGACGGGAAGATCATCAAAGGACGACAAATCATTGCGATGATGTATGAAAGTTTTCGAACGCACGATCGTCTCGACATGATCATCACTCTTGAGTATTTGGTGAAGCTCCAGTACCAAGGCGACAACAAGCTTCATACGTTCAAGCAGACGTGGTTGGAAGTTCTGGGACGGATGAGACCAGAGGACATTCCATCCAAAACAGCTCTCCGTGATTGCTTGTACAGCAAGATCAAGGACTCGCCCGCAATGAAGATGGAGTTGGGCATGCATTACGAACACTTGCCCTACAATCATGAAGACCGATCGTACGACAACTTGATGAAGATCATTGATCGTACTATCATGCGGAGACGAGAACAGTCAAATCTCACTCAGACCCAAATTGGCTTGCGCCAGATGCTTGAGGGCAAGGATTTGCTTGCTGCACCGGCCAAGGTACCCGAGAAACCTACGCCTAACGCAGCTCCTTCCGCAAAGGTCAAGGCTTCGCCGACCAAACCGGATAAAGCAACACCTGTACTACCTCAAAGCAAAGCGAAGAGTCATGCGAAGACCAAGCCAAAGCCCAAGAAGAAGACGAGGAGTGAGTCAGCGGACAACAGAGGTGACAAAAGCAAGAAGCAAATCCGCTGCAAGTTCCATTTCACAGATGCAGGGTGTCGAAATGGTGATAAGTGTCCATTCAGTCACTCGAAGAAGACTCCAGAGCGACCCTTCACGCCGAGGACGAGAACTCCAAGTCCATCTGGAGGAGGAGGAAACAGGATATGCTACTCGTTCAAGAACACAGGCTCGTGCTCAAGAGAGAATTGTCCTTTCAAGCATGAGGCAGCAGCTACCCCAGCTCCGGAACCAAAGGCAAAAGCTAAAGCTAAATCCGAAGCGAAGGCAGCTCCAGCGAAGCCGAATGCCAAGGCCAAGGCACTCCCTGCGGCACCCGCCATCAGATTGTGTCGAAGGTGGAATCCATCAGCTCCGGCTATATGGAAGCGATCTTCAAGACAAGATGAGGAGGAGTCAGATTGTCCATCCGTTGACAGCGACGCTGATTCGGATTGTTCAACAGATGACGAATCCTCGGGAACGACTACGTCGACCCGAAAGGAGATAAAGCGTAATGTGACGTTCGCCGATGACGTGAAGTTTATTTCTTCGTGTCCTAGAAGATCGAAGAAAGACAAAGAGCGGAAGGTGAAGTACGTCGACATGGAAGCATTTATCAATGATGAGGACCGCGCCGTGAGCTTGGAACTCGCCAAGCACAAAGCGAGATTGAGGGCACAGATCATGCGAGACATGGTTGACGACGATGATGATCAATGCGGAGATCGAGTTTCATTCGTACGAATCCCAGGAACGTCTCGAGTGGAGGAAGTTTCTTTCTACGACGGTGAGGATTCCATCGTTGAGCGCGAACTCGATGCTGCACACAGCAAACGGATCATCAATCAAGGCGTATTCAA